TTACAATTTTATTTTCTTTTTCAGGAAAGCACAGAAAATATTAGAGTAGACCTAAGAAAACTTCTATGGAGAAATCAAAGGGTTTATACTATTTCAGAGACAACAAGGTAAAATAATTAAGAAAAAAAAACAAACGTAGTACACAAAATACTATTTATTGAGCAGTCACAAATTCGCAATGGTTGATTTCCATGTTAAACGAAGCATAATAGTTGTCCTCTATATAAATATGATATTTCAGGAATTTTCCCAACATAAATAATAATATTATTGGAAATATAGATGATGCAATTTTAAAAGATTGTTCTTGTTACGTCTTGATTTAAAAAAAATATACAAAAATAATACTAAACGCTGCTGAAACGTATTAGTTTTCATTTTACTTTGGCTTGAAATAATGTTTTAAATAAATTACTAGTGAATGAGCCATAAAAGCATTCATTTAATTTTCTACATTCAATTTCTTTGAAAGCACTGTAGTTACTTAGGTATGATAACATTCTGAGGGGCTCATTTTGGTAAACAGCAGCAAGGCACACATGCCTTTGATATCGTGTTGTTATAACAAAACAAATATATTCCGTTCTAGAAGTCAAATAGTGAAATATTTTAATTAGAAAAAAATTGTTATAGTTTTCAGTATATTAATATCTACAGGTAATTACGTTTATAGTGAAAATAGTGATTTATGAAGTATTGTGCTTTGTGCCAGTTTTGCATCACTTCGGTAGACTAATAAAAGTAGACGCTTGGATGACGGTACATTGAAGATGCAAGCTTTGATGTTCTTTCCCTTTATTTAATAACCGGCAAATATATCACCTTTCGAGATCATATACCACCTCTCAACAATATTCTACATGGTACGTTCAGGAATGTGTAGCAGTGGCATATAGCAACACCTTTTACGATATTTAAGTAACAGAATAAAGATGAAACGTCTAGTGACCCTGTGTTAAAAATGTATCAGGCAATTCTCATTACCCCTTTCTCTGTAAGAAGTTAAATTGTAAGTCGTGCTTCCTAGTTTTATATAATCATTAATCAAACACTCCGTTAATTTACACCTTAATACAGGAAATTCTGTAAAGTAAGGTAGTCATTTGGAATTAGATATATCTACATAGATAGCGAATGTCATGACATATTACAGTAGCTATAATTTGTGTTGTAAACTTTCTGCCATTTGAGAAATGTTAACTCCAAGAATGGTTTCCAACGCAAATCATGCAGTTAATACTAAGCTTTGGATAGTTAATGATTGCTTCAAAACATATTTTAAGCTGAATAACCATAAACATGAACAGCTGCACATAGATTTTTTTTGTAAGACATTTATTTTGATCAAGTAAAACTAACCAGGAATAAAAGTATCCATTCAGTTGTACGATAAAGATGTAAAAACAAAAGATAGCTCCTATATCAGGATGATAAAATCAACAGACGAGGTCGCAATATCAGTCAATGTATTTGTTGACTTTACTCTTTCTCTGTCAGCGTAGGTTGTATCACAGACATTTTACAGACACAATAGCGTAGCCGGGATATGTCCTCGTCTCTCATTACATCACATTTATTACATTTCAATAGAATGTCTCGGCATTGTGACTCCATATTGAATAAAATACCAGCTGACCCATTCTAAGCTTTGCTTTGTATTATCCAAAAATCCTACTTCATTGAAGGACACACTATACAGTTATCACCGAATAGTAGGTATGCCATTTTGTAGGTATGGGTTAAAGTAAGAAATAGTATGTGGGTTTACATTACAGATTAATTACTTTTTTAAAACATAAGGTTAGCTATTGACATTTTACATGCGTACAGGGCCTCTTTGAACACTATCTTTAAAGTGATGTTATAATCATATAATGTTATGGGTTAATGCCTTTGTTTTACACAGGCATAGTTGCCACTAAACAAGCGTATCCTTGAAATATCCACAATAACAGTGGCTGTGTGGAGAACGGGGTCTCACACGCACAATTGTGCCCTTGTTAGCACCCGCACTTGTCGCTTATTTACAGTAATGGAAAAGGTTTCTTATACGGTAAGTTTCGTCTTAGTCAGTTTGAAAGGATTACGGGCTATTGCTTACTAAGGCAACGGTTGACTAGAGGAAGTCAAAGTGAGCTACATCTGATCTTAAGCCATTTATGGCCCTGATTAGCGTTTAGGTTTCTAATGAACATGATAATAGTGTAGTTTTTGGCATGGGTTTATGAGTTGACAGACATGAAGGGCTTAATGAGTTCAACAATTATTTGAATGGATTTCTGTCCCTGGGTAAGGAACCGAATCATAACAGAAATAACCGTGACCTTAGGCCGAGCGCACACGGTGTGACTGTTTTACAACTGTCGTTGCAAACCAGTTGCGCTTGCAACTGTTTTGCAACATCGGCAATGTATTGCAATGGGGAGCCGCACACGACGCAACTGGTCGTTTGCGATTTTCAAAAAAGTTTGAAACCAGTCACATGCAACGGTGGGCCCGACGTTGCAGCAACCAGTTGCACGAAACCACGGGGTGTTTTTGTGGTGTTTGGTGGAAATTTGTTGTTATTTTGACGGCCGTATAGTGTTCATCTCAAAATGAATGATCAAGAATTCAACTTGAAGCTCGTTGGAGAAGTGGAGAAACATGAAGTTCTGTACAACTACAAACTGCCAGGATATTCAAGGAAAGATTTGACTGATTAAGCAGCGGCTACACTTGCCCGATTCGGTCCGGTCCGGTCCGTCCCGAATTTGTAAGGGGTGGCTACACTTGTACGAATCGTTTCGGTCCGGCCGGAAGAGGTAGCTACACTTGTACGATATTTTGAAGGACACGCACGAGCACGGGGCACAAGTACAGCATTACAGAAGGTGTTTAGTCAAAGCCAATTAACCGAATAGGCATGGTAGGCACGTGCCTAGGGCGCGAGGCAATTGGCTTTTTTTTGGGGGGGGGGGGGTGCCAAAAAAATTAAAAATATAAAAAAATGGTGAATGTATTTGCATGCAATCGCGGTAAACTTCCTATAATCCCTCGCGGCTTGTACTTGTTAGTAAAGCCTTGCCAAGGAATAATACCCTCATAAACCTATAAATTTGGTGTGAATAACAACGAGCAAATACTTGCCTAAAGAGTAAATACTTGTTTTTCAACAAGTTATCAGTAACCCATGCTTGTTTGAGTTTACTTGTTGATAAATGCATGTAACACATTCAGTATAGTGTAGGCCTAATACATTTATTTAAATGATGATGTATGGCTTAAGTAATTTCCGCAAAATAATGCATGGGAAAAAGATGGAACCTTAATTCAGATGTCAAAAAACATAGATAATAAAAAAAAATAATAATTTTCAACTGAAGTGGAGGTGTATTCTTTTGTTATGTTCAAGCTATGTGTTATCATAGCTAGCTGCTACAAACAGCCTACGCCTGACGTTATTTCTCAAATAAGGGTGAACCCAATGATCCCTCTGTACCCTACGAAGCTTTCTGTATTCATAATAACTAATGACGTCTTCTTCGTCTGAGTCTGACATTGTTATTGTACTTAAAAACACTTAAAAACAAGGAAGGCCTTAAAAACAACGTCACTGCACTTACAATATAACACTCCACTGATTGCAGAATATACGCAACTGTAGTTGTAACACAGTTGCACCGTGTGCGGACAGAAGCTCTTTTTCAGTTGCAAACTGGTTGCAGTCGCAACGGGTTTGCAACGGTTGCTCTCAAAACAGTCACACCGTGTGCGCTGGGCCTTAGCGGTAATTTCCTACGAACATTTTTGAAATTGATAGGTATTTTTGAAATTTTAAAAGAATATAGTTTTTAATTAGCTGAATGTTTAATTGTTTTCATACGCAGCAAAAACGGTCTTTTTAATACATGTGTTGTGGAAGCTAGGTAGCATTTTTACCCTAGAGAGTAAAAGTCTGCCAATGTAAACAGTTATAAATTTCAATTAGGTAATTTGTGAACAATCGCATGGACCAAAATTATTCATCAATTATTTATTTATTGAAATATTTGGTTAGGTTTTAGCGTATATTCATTTTAACATATCTATAGTAAAATGTAACACAATCGTAAAAGCGAAATTATCGAATAGCCTAATAAACAGCTCTGCTTATTTACATGGTCAAAATTGAAAACGAGCGGGAAGTCGTTTTGAGAGGTTATAAATTAAAAATTTTCGAAAAGAGTGACTTCAGTGATGAAAAAATATGCTACAAAAACATAATTGGAACATAAAATGGACATCTAAATAATGAATTTATCTTGTTGTGTTCTTAGTGTAAAAGGTCATAAAATTCGTTGAAAATACTTAATCTACTGTTAAAAATACAATAAATGGTTATAATTCTTCAATATGGCGTCTTATATTAAATTTAAGGACTCTAGTTTTTATTATATTTTTTAAACGTAGATGTTAAGACAATTCTAAGACTTGTTTCCATGAGTATCCTCTCGAAAATTACTCGTTTAGGAGCTATAGGGTGCAGAATGGGGGTCTAGTGGTAGAGTGCGGGACGAGTAGCTTTTGAAGGAAAATGTAAAGTGTAAAACGTGATTAAATTTATTTAAATTTTAAGACTATGATAAATATCACTTATTTGTGAAAACATTTTGTAAAATTCCAATCGAACAAATTGAAATTTGTATCACATACACTTGTTGTTTGTGGGCATTTAACTTTTGTTTTACCTATTGTATGTCTGGTATTACAAAACACTTATGCTTTAGCACATTAAAGTGAAATAGCAGGTTAAAGAATTATCCTTTCTTTTTAACGACATTGTAATAACATTTTAATCCGTTGTTCTTATTATTTATTTAAAATCTGAACTTTTCATAAATTTGTAGTTTAAATGCTTAATTTTTCAAGAAAAAATATTCTAAGGAGTAATTTGCTGATGAAAACATTTTACAAATAAGCATGAAAAGTTCAATATTTGTTCTACTCGTGGATCGTATTGAAGGCTTAATGTGTTTCAGGTTCTTTGAAGGCGAGAGGATTTTGCGTTAGGTAAGTAGATTCCTAATGTTCAAAGTTTATTTATGTCATGTTTTTTATGTCTTAATCATGAAAATACCGATTTTTAAAATGTGTGAATGCTAAGGGATCTTAAATATTATCAGTATGGTAGAATGTGAGTCATTATGAAGTATTTAAGTGTATTTCTATTTATAGATACATTTTAATCTGATAAGTGCGGTTATTATTGGGTTCAGTCATTAATTTACTTCAATTGTTCCACTAAACCAGACATTTTACCAAGGGGGTCGTCCTATACACAGTGAAAAGAAACTTTCCCCTTAAATTATTATTTTAGCTGTACTACTTTTGTTTCGAATAAGCATACGATATTAAATTATAAAGTGGTTAATCCTACTCTTCGTCATCATTATCTTTTTAAAGTACTGGCGATAAATTATGCAGTTATAATATATATATAAATAATATTAGACATTTTAAAATTCATATTCTTATAAACATCTTTACGCGGCATTTCTGAACTGAATTCAAGTTTAGTTTAGTTGTAATGAATCAAATTTTAACATCCATGTTTTCAAGCACAGTTTAGCTTAAGTTGGATTATATCTTTTTATTCTAAAACCATGAATAAGTTGTGTCGTTTAATTTCCTAAGCAAATGACTTTATCTACTTTACTATAACAGTCACGTGTATCTTAGGCAGCTTAAAATAAAAAAAGTATATTCGTGGGAATATATCGTTATTCATTTCATTTATTTATACAATAATTACTCAGTGAACTCTTAAGAGTAGTATATCAATTGACGATGCGAAAAAAAGTACAACGTTGTATTAAAGGAAACTGTCGACCAAATGAGAGAGGTCAAACCTAAATATCAGGATACAATATCCGTTTTATTAAGGTTTTACTTACTGAGCATAATGTAAGAATAATGTATAATACTCCACATAAAATAAATACGTTCATAGGTACCATTTTTATGTAGAAATTCATTTAGTAATGTTCAATAAGGATTAGTCATTGAACTTTAAAGGCAATATTTTTTATCTTACGTGTCATTAGGCTTTAAAAACAGTAAATACTAATCATTATTTAACTTGTTATTTAGTGAACTAAATGCTTGCCACAATAACAGATTTCTTACTGCTCCAATACAATCAGAATTCCAACTCAGCCTCGAGCTAAAGCAGATAAAGAATAGACAGAGGGAAGCCAACATGAAAAACTGCACTAACTTTTCTCAGTCAAGATTACACTGATGGAACGCATCAAGAAAGAATACAGCACTGATCTGAGGTGGTTTAGAAATACTGTAAAATGTTTTACTTCTTGGTTAGGATTTGTAAATGGAGTAATGCAATGCCAAATAAAGGCTAAATTTACAGACTTGTCAATATTGTTTTTAATTTCTTATATTTAAAGAATACATACGTAAGTGCTTATGTTGTTGTAAACTGAAACTTCGTTTGTTTGGAATTGGTGAAAATATGTTTAGGACAGGCAAAATCTTTTGTTTCGATAGGTAGTACATCGAAGATTTTTGTAAAGCTAAGGTCTAGGTAAATGAGATTTGTTCGTACACGAAATAATTAAAAAGGTTGTTTTCAATGTATGAATATCAACACTATACTATTTATTTGAAGTCGCAGTAAGCAGAACGTTTTTTATAATAATCTTTCAGCATAAATATGGTGGAGCTGAAAAACTGTGTAATATTTATGTCGATAGAAGAATAGATTATGTCAAGATTTATCGTTGCATTTGAATCTTTGTGACTTAAGGCAACTGTAACTGCTCTTGAGTCCAAAAATGATAAGTTAAGATATGCTTTAAAGCATCTTAAAAGAACATATGAATTTTATTTTAAATCAGTTAATGATAAAAAAATTACCTAGCTTTCGTATGCTTCTTACGTCAATTTCATTTCGGCTATTTTACTACCTTATGAATGTATGGATACCAAACATCACTAACCAAAATTATTTGATAACATCTACACGTAAGAGTATATTAAAGAGGCAAGCATTTTTTCCGAAAACTCCTCTGTAATTTCTCAACCAATGTCGTTGGTTTACGGCTTATTGATACAATCTCACTGAATATATGCCATATAAGGTCTCACACGTTTAAAAATTTCCTTGAAATAAAATTATGAGGGACTGATAATGCAGGATATCAAGTAGTACTTGAGTAAAGTGAACGACTTTGCACCGCTAAACGGAAAAAAAGACTGCTATTTGTAATTACACTGGCAACAATGTAGCAACTATGTAGGCTACTTTATCAATGGCGAATATATACATGGACAACTTTATGCACTGTTCATTTTTTAAACCTTAAAAAACTAGGTAAACTTCTGAAAAATTATCAAATATTTACATAAGCGTTTATTATATCAAACTGTTATTAATATCGTAAGTATTTTCGTTAGTTACAGCTTTTAGTTTAGTCTTTTTAACTCATCGAAAATTACGACTGCTATTAGTTTTAAAATAGCTTATGTAATTATACCGGTAGAACTACTTGATAATTGCTCAATTTCAAGCGACATGTGCATTAGTTTTATATTTTTTTAAGTTATCAAACACACGTTACCTGAACTTGAAGCCGATGCTTCATTGTTGCAATGGTATTAATACTGTAATTTCTTTTGTTTTATGTAGTTTTTTATAACCTACAAAAACAAATCTGTATTTTCTTAGGAAGTTTTTTCTCCTGTTGTAACCATTCCTTAGGTCACTTCACTTTCATCCTGCCTTTAAACAATCGTCTTGCGGTAACGAATTTTATAATTACTGATTTGACTTCGTTAAATAAACTGTAAAACCTCTACGAAAATATTATTAGTATTATAAGTTTTTATGGTTCATTCCATCTTTGTTGTAAAGTCTAATTGCCCTTAATAATATCATTGTACTTTACGGAAGAACTTACTTGATATTAACACTAGGTTGATTAGTTTTTTTTTCAGTTCGCTAAAATAATGTCATACAAATCAAGACACAGTGTGACAGTACTTGATCAAAGCACAATGTCAAAGCAAATATCGCCCTGAGGCTGTTTACAATGTACAGTAACCATCATTACTCTCTCTGGGATGTTCCTGACCACCAAGTTTCAATCCTTATACTTATACAAAGTAAAAAATCTCAACACATGATTAGTTAAAACACCGTTTTTTGTACATCCAAATTTTATAGGTTACAGACCTAAAATTAATTAAGTGTATTAGGTAAAACTGGGTCTATTAGGTGAATTAGGGTTTAATATTCCAAAATGTAAAGTAATAATACAACTGTAAGGGTAAAAGGAAATAAAATAAGATCTAATGACAGATTGTTTAAGTATATAGGTAGTTGAACAGTAAAATTCTGATACAAAAATACATTTTTCTGTAGACCTTAACCAGAATAAAAATTATGATACTGTTCATTATTTACCTACACTGCATGATTTGGAAACAGGAAAAATGAAATTACTTACGATTCTTGCTGATAATTAGAAAGACATTGCATCTTCCCTTTGAGATCTAATTGGTTCATTAAAGCCTAAATGGTAATCTTGGCGTCTCTTTGCGCATTTATAAATACAGTACAAGCGTTATCCAGAACGTTCGTTGTGAAATGAAATGATTATCGATACACAGTCTAAAAGAGTGATTTGTTACCATAAAATTATTTCAAAACAATTTAAATAAATACCCGTTTTATTTTAAACGTTGCCCCCCTTAGATCATTAGTATGCCCAATATTATATTTATTTAGCTTACCTTCTTTTGCGAAATTATAACGGGTGGTCCATAATAACCACTATATTTTTGATTTTTGTGACAGCTCAGCTAATTCATAGTTTAGAGAGATGATTTTTTTACGGTACCTCAATAAATAGAATTTTTTGCAATTATAAGTTGTTCAAACTATTCAATTATTAATAGTGGTGGCATAAAAAATAAGTTATTTGTAAAATCTATTAATTGTTCGTTTTGCGGGTGTGAATAAAACAATGCTGTATAAAATAACAAATGCAGTTTATTAAAACTCACAGAAATAGTATATAGAAATAGTTTATTTTTTTTATTTTTTTTTTTTACTGTAATTATAATTTTCACAGCGTTATTTTGTCTATTACTTCACGACCGCTAAATAAACATTGCATAGATTTCACACATTATTTGTTTTTGATAGGTACCTCCTTCATAAGTAAAGTTTCATAGTTTGGACACATAAAACAAAATCTATTAATAAAGAATCTTTTCAACGGAAAAAACCATCTCTCTAGCCAATCAGTTTAGCTGTCACAAATCAAAATTTTAGCGGTTATTGAGGACCACCTAGGAAAAAGGAACTGTATATTTTGTTGATTTTATAATACAATAAAACCATGTAGTACTGATGGATGTCTAATAAAATAGACAAAGAGGTAACATATACCGAACCCACTGTTAAGTTTATGAATACTCTGACAAAGGAAGAAGAAAGTAAACAAATACATTGACTTATATTTCAAACTCAGTTGTTGGTTCTATCATCGTAATTTAGAAACTTTTTATTTTAGTGCCTTATTTTGTTCAGCAACCAATAGAGTAGTTTTACTTTCTGCCATTGAAATTTGATTTAAGTAATTTTACGACTTGATGATCTCAATAAAATAAATGTTAAAAAGTCAAATAGTTTTTATGTATGCAAACAAAATTAACTGTTAAAATTTTAACTATTTAAGACCAAACCAATTTTTAACGTCTTCGTAATCGCTTTTTTAGTTAAGTCATCTGACAAACCAAATATTTTTTAGAGCAATAACTAAAATTGTATACATGAAATAATAATAAACTATACAGTTTGGTCGTAAATTGAATAAGCATGATTAGCATGTGCTCGAGAGGAACGAGAAAGAAATCGCACCAGTGAAAAAATTTCACGATGGTAATGGGATTCCAACTGCTATTTAATGTTCAAATTATTTTTAATTCATAACTTATATTACTCCTATATAAAACTAAAACTCTTTTATATACATTATTATGAGCAT